CCTTGCATCCCATATACGCACTGCTCCATCACAGTTCCGTGAAGCTATTTGCTGCCCATCTGGCGAGCTTCTAACGTCACTGATAGCTGCTGAATGGTTATCTAAGTCATGACTAGATTGTTGTGACCGAGTATCCCAAAGGCGTATCGTTTTGTCTTTACTGAAGGACGCAATTTGGTGGCCGTTTGGTGAATATGCCAAGCAAGTTATTGTACCAGAGTGACCGTAAAAGATATTCATGGGTTGCCCTGTTCTCGCATCCCAAAGCCATATTAGGTTATTGCCATCACAAACGGCTATCGATTCTCCGTTTGGTGAATACTTTAGCTCCTGGATATGAAACCACTTTCTTGTAAAAGTATGAATGACTTTTCCTGTTTGCATATCCCACTGATATGTTTGATAGCTGGTGAACGAAGCAGCGAACTTCCCATTAGGTGAATACTGTATCCCTTGGACATAATCGCCATGATCCAAACTAAACTTCTTTTGACCAGATTCAACATCCCACACATGCAGAGAGGTATCATAAGAATGAGTTATGATTTCCTGCCCATTAGGTGAATATTCAATTTGCACAATCCCAGATTCATGGCCCATCAGCAACATCGACTGTTGCCCTGATGTCGCATCCCACAGCCGTAATGTCATGTCTTTACCGCCAGTTGCAATCTGCTTTCCATCAGGTGAATATGCCATACTCCTCACAGCATCAGTATGACCCTCTAACATAAATTTGAGAATGCCTGTTTGGGTGTCCCACACTCGTACTGAGCCATCCCTGCAAGCTGAGGCAAGATCGTTCCCGCTTGGCGAGTACGCTACACGGCTGACAGAGCTTGTATGACTCATCAATCTGTGAACCACTGACCCTGATGTTGCATCCCATATTAAAACTGCCGCTTGACCATTGCCCCAAGAGGCGATATGCCTGCTGTCTGGTGGGTATAAAAGACTGCTGCCAGTTGCGTCGTCTTCTAAAGCCAAGAGTTCCTCCCATGTTGATGTGTCATACACGATAATTGAGCACTTTGTTGATTCAGTGATTACTGCAGCGAGTGTCTTGCCATCAGGTGAATATAACCCATCCAATACCTGACCATTGGCTCCGAGGAATGGCCACTCTCCAAACTGTACTCCTGTCATCTTTGCTCCACTCAGGTTTGCTGAACGAAGCCAGCATTTCCGTAAGTTCACCTTCCTCAGATCTGCTCCTTGCAGCTGAGCATATTCAAAAATACCATGACTGACATCGGCTCCTGGAATCTGGATGCCTCGCAAGTCTGCTCCGATGAATGACTCGCCTGCTCGAACCAATATTGTTATCGCATTCGCTGCTGCTATTCGCCACTTGCTATCACTCTTCGAGAGCTCTACATATCCATACAACTGCTGTCTGAACACCGGCTCAAGACGGGCACGATCCTCCAGGAACTGAAGAATAGATGGCTCATCTACAAAGCTCCTCCATACTAAAGGTGATGTCTCATCTGCTTTGGCCACATCCACTTCCTGCTCGCTTCCCTTGATATCCATGCCTTCGAAGCTGAACATTGAACTAATACTCTGTCGACGGGAGTGTGATGTGGTCGTCTGTACTTCTCCATCGCTTGTGGAAACGCTCGTTGCTGGCTGCGGCTCAAATATCGCTCGTACTAGGCTGTACTCAAGAATAGACCGGTGCATAAACCGATGCTGATTGCCTGTACGTGTGAGTGGTGATGCCTCACGCAATAGGTTCCTTCTACTCTCTTTGCTGAAGTACTCTTCTTTCCATGTGTCCTTGTCCTTGGATGGTGAGTACTCCACCACTGGATTGCCATCTTGATGCTTATAGATTGCTGTAGCCAGCTCTGTCAGGTACTTGATCCCATTCTGTGCAAACCCTTCATCTGTCAATATTCTGAACATCCTTCTATCTTCTGGTCTTAATGTCTCGCTAAGTCGCTTCTTGCCTCGTTCGAGCCATTGCTCAACAAACTGGTCATACAATATGACCCGCTTGATCCCGCCGTTGGTGATCTCTTGTCCTGGATCCACCATCCGCGGGAGTACTTCAAGTGACATCGATAGTATGAATGGGTTTCTCACAAGCTCTTGTAAGCTAGGGACCATCTTGAGTGCACCCTTATAGTCCTCCACACTCCACAGTAGATCCATAGAATTGACATATTGTTCGATATAGTTTTCAATCTGTGCCTCAGAGAATGGTACAATCACTGCCTCTTGGAACAATCCACTATCTGCTTGATGATTGCGGTCCATAGGTTGGAATCGATCTCGATAGTCCGATCCAAGATACTCACTGCGACAGCTGATCACCATCTGACACTTCCGCTCTCCAGCCTTATTCAGTTGGTTGGATGCATACAGGTTGTTGGTCTGCATGCTCTCATCATATCCATCGCAGATTAAAACAAATGATCGATTCATCTTCAACTCCTTAATCTCCGAGTCTGCGAAGCCGTAGTCTCGCAGTTGCTTTGCAACCAGATCCTTCTCTGGCTTGTCAATGGCTGGAAGATTGATAAATAGTGGGATCCGACCATGTCTCTTTTGGTATGTCTCCCAGAGTGTGCGCTCTAGAGTGCGGTTAAATGTGGATTTGCCTGCTCCTGAATCTCCTTTGACAAGCAACACTTTCTGGTCACTATCTAGGAACTCTTTCACTTTGTTCATCAACAAGACCCGCTCGTTATCGCTTGCTTGAGGACTTGCTTTGGCATACTGTTGAACATAGAAGCTTTGATTATTCCCATCTATCCGTCGTATCTTTAGTTGCCGTAGACTATCCTCAACACCAGACTTCTTCTGTGCACGATCAAGCAAATGTGAAGATCCGGGACGAGAGAGGATAGCAACAGAGGAGAACTGTATCAATGGCCCTTGAAGACAATTGGTGTATAGCTCTTGTTTTTTGTCATTTCCTATCTTGAGATCATTCAAAAGAGTGTTTGCAGCTAGAATAAACAAGAGCAGAAAGAGGGAGCAAAATCATGTATATAGTATGTGGGTTAGTATATAATGATTATCATCATCACCACCAAACATATCCATACAAGAATCAAATACTTACCTTGGAAACCATCTGGTGGTAGCGAGGATAGTTGCCTAAGTATATTTACGATCCACTGCTTAATGTGTGTATGGTTTCCCCATTCCTGGTCATTACTGTATATCTCTCCTAGGAATGTGGTGGCATCTTGCCGAATATCCATGCTCCACTTTGTATCTGCTGCAACCTGTCCCAACATCTGACAGAGTCCCCATTGGAATGCTACTTCATTTCGACAGGACACTTCACACACAAGAGTCTTGAACTTGGTCAGCTCGCCTCTCTGCAGTAGTCCATCAGCTACTCGAAGTGCTGGATACCATCCTGACTTGCGACTGAAGCTGAGTCCTTCTTCCATACACTCTCTGAATGCCACTCCACTCTCATAGCGTGATGTTGTTCCTTTGTACACCTCTAGACTCCTGTCCATGATATCTGTCACTGATGGAAGTCCTTTCTGAATATTGCTTATCTCGTCCATGAAGACATTCATCTTCATGTCCTTGAGTGCACTCACTCCTCCAAACACTCCTCGAAGTACTGCTGATGTCCGTCGGAGCATGGCTTGTATTGTCGTTTCGTCGTCTGGAATGTACAATAGTGCTTGGAAAGCATAAGCTGCTTGATAGATTAGATGAGGGTCTGTACTCTCTTTTAGTCCTTTGAGGTATGCAGCAAGTGGCTCATGCAGTTGTTCTCGCTGCAGACCCTTGACCTGGTTGTTGACCATGGCATCGAGGACATGTGAGACTGTAGCTGAAAGGTGATAGAGATGGTCTGTAGATTGAGTATGTGTGTTTTGCAACCGAGAATTGAAAGTGGTGAGGATCTTGACAAGATCATCCGAGTCGAGATATCCAAGAGGAGCATGATGCATCAACTGAGCCAATCCTTCCAGCAAATGAGTCTCCAGTATGATGTTCTGGCTGATTCCATTGATCAAAGCCGCAAGTAGTGCTCTGAACTGTGTTTGGTCAAGAATTGGAGCCAGAGTTACAACCTCAGCCACAGTAGTTTCTGCCCTAATCCCATCGCTGATGAACAGCTCAATCACATCCGATGCCAATTTACGCAATCGATCATGCTCATCTTGATTGGTTGATATGGCCTGCTGCCACTCTTTCTCTTGGTTATTAAGGTCATTTGTTTGGATAGGAACAGTAGGAAACAGACTGAGACAATATGTAAGCTGGCAGATATCATCCAGACTTGCACCGACATCTGGTAAGGTGTACCTGCTGACTGTTAGAGGTTCATTGTGGTTGAATATGTCCTTTGATATAGTTGCAATGGCCTGTACTGGTGCGAATTGCACTGTTTCCATCACCTTGCTCAATTTGCTACTGCTGGACCCAATGACTCGTTGGTTAGTGGTGGTATCGCTATTATTGCTGTCGTTGTTATTGCTCCCTTGGATGTATCCCCATTTCTCTGCTTTCTTGTATCGCTTCTGTGCATCAGTTGAGTGACCCAATTGCTCAAATAAGCGAGCAAGTTCATAGTAGGCTGAGCCAATACCTTGGTGCAATGCCATGTCTTCATTGGGACCTGAAGAGGTCGAAGAGGTTGAAGTCATTGAGGCGAAGGACATCTTCCAAGACTTCTGAATACGAGACAGTACAGAGTCAGCATCGAGGCATAGCTCCGTCACTAGGATGCTATCGTCTTCTATAGAGCGAGTGCCCTGCATGTACAAGTCAAAGAGTCTCAGAGCCTGTGCTGGCGAGAGTGTGTTTCGTGAAGGGAAATTGATGCTGCCAAACATGGTCTATTGCTTGTCTTTTTACTCGTAGATTGTATCCTATCCACGCGTCCGAGATAAGAATAGTTTTCAATGACTGTTTGTTAGTGGCGAGCGTGAAAAAATGTTTTTTGTGTGCTCCAGTCATGTTTGCCTGCCTCTTACATGCATGTATGCTTCAAAAGATTCGAAATGCAATTGGGATCATTTAAATTACTGAAGGCAAAGGACGAAAAGATGATGAAAGATTAGAAGCATGTGTCTCCCTGCCATTGTGGGACTGTTGCTTTGGTAATTCATTCAATGCACATTTGCTACATTTATTACTTTTTTTCTTTCTTTTTCACAATGAGCGTCGACTAAGAGCCAATTGAGTTTTGTCATTTCTGCTTGTGATCATTTTCATCTGTGTTAAAATTGTTTTTTTTTGACATAAGAATGAAAAGAATAGAGCGAAGAATTGGATCCGTGAGATGATGCTTGTGTGTTTGGGCTGTGCAGCAATGTTTACATGCATGGACACATCCTCGCCTTGCACAGAGTGATGGTTGACACCATCACCAACCTGAACATGTTCGAGCTTTTGCTTTTGCAAGACAACAAAAAGAAAATAAAGAAGCAAGCTTGACTAACAATGCTTGATTGAGCTTAGAGTTGGTAAAAATCCCAGGTGTATGTGATGGCTATAACATTGTGTTTGTACCCGCGCTATGGTTCTCATCCATTTGTCTCCGTCCCTGTCGTAGCACTTTGCTACGCCGACGCAGTGCTCTCGCTCCTTGATTTGTGATAATGATTCCAACCCACTATTCCACTATTGCCCAGCATTTGGAAGGAGGAGTTTTCTTTTTCTTGTTTTTTTTGTGACATGAAAGTATTGGCTGACATTAGGGATGGAAGAACCATTCTGCATGTGCACGTTGAGTGGTGCTGTCGCCATTTTTTGGCACCAAATGAATTTGTAGAGGCCAACAGGCGTGTACAGCGCAAAGAGCAAAGCATATGATGGCATATGATGACACTCGATACTCCATCACTCCTCAGTCTTAGAAAAGAGACTCGAAAATTGGTACAAAGACTTGGCCACAAACTTAGCAGCAAGAATGAATCATCTTTTTTATAATTTTTTTCATAAGGATAGTAATAGTGTTAAGGTATGCGAAACATTTCTAGTCAAGAGTATGCTATGCTATGCTATGCTATGCTATGCTATGCTATGCTATTCACTTGACCACCAGGATATCAGAGAAGCCAGTGTTTACCATCATCACTTGTCATCAGCGAGTATAGCAGCAACAGCACCGGAATAAAGGAATGGCCTGTGGTACAGTTTCTTCGCAACACATGGGCATTTTATTTGGTCTTCTTCTCCTTTGGCCATTCCGAGTTGATCTCTGCAAACTTATGCTTTGAGTAAGCGGTGTAACTATGGATAACATCTTAAAACAGGCTATATTCGGTTGAACGATATAGACCTGATACAAGTCTGATGTTTTAGCATCAGGACCCTAACCACCCATTCAAAAAGCAACGAGACTCAATAAACAATCAACAGCTACGAGATAAATTATGTACTTGTTTTGATATGTACAGCTTATTGAAGAAAGATTTAGAAAACCGTTGTCTGGATCACCATTTGAAGATATCTTCTTTGACTGGAGATGTTGAGGTGGACATGGTTTATAGTCCAGTTTGCAAAGTGGTAAAAAAAAAATTATTACACCAGGAGCTGACCTATAATGTGTCACTTCCTTTCCCGAAAACCAAAGTCACTAAATAAAAATAAACAATTTTTTTTTTTTTTTCGCGACAAAACTGTGCCACAAAGCTTGATCAGCATCTTCGACTTCAGTTCCAGACCAAACTAGCTAAGGGAGAGGAGGGTGGGACATTATAGGTCGGCTCCCCCGAATAATATGCTTTTCTTTTCATATTATTTGAGAACGCTGTGTAATAAACAGGCAATTTTATTTAAGCACGAGCCACACTTGGCCATGCTAATCAAAGCGTACTATGCAGCTATGCAGCAGCATAGCATGGCTGTAGTATGAAGAATGATAAGTGTCGAATCGAATAGCAATTGTGTCATTAAATACCATTGGCCCATTTATCTTATGGATTCTTCTTTTTTCTTCTTTTCTCTGTCCCATACAGCTTTGGCTCTTCACCTCCTTATCCACCTGTTGCATGCTCAGTCACCTGAAAAACTATTGAGTAACCTGCGCAACAGCCCATATGCAACACACATAAAGACCTTAACAATTAACAAGAAAGCTTATACTTCTTGTTAAGGAGGTTGCTGTAGTTATATATTAGGGCTATCGGAGTGTATTATTCGAGGGGATATGGAAATGAAAGAGATGAATGATAATTGCTTATTTGCACAATCCTAATACCTTTTTTAAACTGAATGCATAAGCCAGCCTTCGTGAATGGCTTCCCACATAAATTACTTAAAGCCTTGTAGTCAGTCATGCTCCGTCACTTCTTGATCTTCCTTGGACTCATTTACCTCGCGGTTGTTTGATTAGTTGAGAGTGTCAATGCTTGGAGGATGCACTTTGTTTTTTTTTTTTTTTTTTTTTTTTGCAATAAAATAAAATAAAAAAAGTGGAGACAAATGTCATAATAGATGAGACTCTAATAAAAACTACGCTCACTTAGGCCTTTCTGCCACTGGCACTTGTACCAGCTCTTTTTTTCTTTTTAATTTTTTTACTCATTCCCAATATATTCAAACAATTCACATAGACCAAGTATCTGGGAAGCTAAGTGAAGTCCACGTCGCCTGCCTTTTCTTCTTGCTCACAGCTGAGCGAGGAGTCTGGTGCATGAGCAGTATTCAGAACATTTGAAGCGCTCTTCAAACTACAGAAATGCATTATAATAGCTGGCACGATCCAGCTCATATATATATATATATATATAAGCTCATGAGATATAGAATCAGTGCTATTACCAGCTATCACTCCTTCACATAGGCCTTCCATGTTGATATAGGCAATATTCTTTCAACTGACTCTGTCTCTGCACAGTATGGGAGAGCTTTTAAACATGTATCTTTGGAAAATTGTAGAATGGTTGATGAACTGATCTTTTAGTAGTTCTTGTTTAGGTATTTTATTCTATTTTATAGTAGAGAATTATGTGTTTGCACGACTTCCCATCGAGCATCCTAGAGCCTTGAGGGCCTTCTGCGTCCTTGCAAAGTCAATTGACCTTTATTTGTTTGTGTAGTGGGTGATAGGCTATGACTATAATGAACCGATACTACGGATGTGGACTGGTGAGAATGGTTTTTTTTTTTTGCTCTAGATATTCAACTTCCCGTCCTTGACCTGCTCTAACCAAGTATAATAACACAATTCCTTGATGGAGGCATATTGGGTGCAGTAATCTGTTCCACTGGTGTCATAACATCCAAAAGCAATCTTGTCAACGCCGTTATGAAGGTTGCTCACTTCATTAGCATAGAAGGTCCCATAATCATTACCATCCATAGCAAAAGACCAACTTCTAAAGTCTTTTCTAATGTCCATTCTCCCTCTGTGATTCGTTTTTGTGTAAACGTCGGCAAAGTCATTGTGCCAGCTGGTTTTTGCAATAAGAATGCCATTTGGGTCTGCAATAACAGCATCAACATTCCAACCAAGACCTGACATCCTTTTTTTGTAACAAGCCCAATGGCTAGCAGAGGCTGAACTCAGAAGCAACAAGGGAGCCAAAGGAGCATAAGGGATGATCATTGTCAGGAATGAGTACTTGAACAGAGTTGGAAATAGGATTTCAAACGCTTCAAGCGTCATTGCTCACAGTTGCACAAACCCTACAAGCATTTTTTCCTTCTCATAAACCAAGGATTGATGGCCAAGACCCAGCTTTGATGGAATGGCCTTAAAATCATACATTTTATTCTGCTTTGGGAGCACTTGGTATCAAGTTAATATTGGATAAGGCAAATAGGATGCAAACCATTTCAGGCGATGAAGCTGGACTGTACAAATCCTATGGTTTTTAAAGTGTCTCTCGCTAAAGAAATAATGTAATAGATATACCGGATAAAGCAAAAGAATAACCACTTATTCATCCCTCTCTCTACTCGACTTTTGCATTCATTCTTCTCTTGTCACCCTTATATTCATCCGGATCACCTTTATGCGCCTCAGCTGTTGCATCTCTAGCCAATAGTGAGGTAATAAGAGTTGATGTTCCCGTTCTCCCACTCATTTAAGCCTCTTCCGCCACCCCAAGCCATTCCTAACCACAAGGCAAGAGGAAATGATTGCGACTGTTAAGAACTAAAGTATAGCGTCCTCTTATGGGCTTCGAGGGGGAAAGGATGCGAAGAGGGGCCCTTCCCATGATCTATGATTTTCACTTCTCGTTTGAATAATAGCCGGGGCCCATATGCTTCAGTTGGTTAGATTTGGACTGCTGCACTTGGTTGCTCCTTGGGTAGGTAAGGGCAAGACTGCTACTCCTTTACCCTTATAGGAGCAGGAACAGGAGCAAGCTCATTGATACTCACTACCTTCACAACTAGTCAAAGCATCCACTCTTAAAGAGAAAAAAAAAATGAAAAATAGAAAAGTAACAATAAAAAAAAAAATAGCATTGTTGAATAGTATTCTTTACTGCATTCAAATACAAGATTTCAATCTGATGCGATGCTTATGCGAGTTGGAGATATTTTTCAATTAGACATTCGCAGTCACATTTGATCACCTTTCAGTTGCCTTGGTTACAAAGAAGAAAGCCATTGTTAATAAGCAGGACAAACATACATGGAGCTTCCAGAGCCTTGTTTTCCACCGTACGAATGTGTATTCTGCCATAGTACTTTTTGCTCTGCCACCGCTACAGAGAGTCATGCCTGTGAAGGATGGTTAAAGGAGTCCCAGGCTAATCAGTCCAACAGTGTCCACAATGTGAAAAGATGGTTCTGACAGCCAAGCAACAGGATCCTGCGACCATTGTAAAAAAAAAAAAAAAAAAAAACCAGCGTTAAAAGCAATATTCATTCCTCCTTTTTCTTCTACAGCCCTTTATTTCCATTTCTTTACAATTAGTAGAGTGCTAAAGGTTTAATAGCTGCTTTTGTTTTTTTTTTGTTTTTGCTTCCTCTTCTTCTTTTTATAATAGCTCAAAGAACACCAGGAAAGCGGCTGTCGCATTCATCTCCTTCCACCTGTTCAATCTATAGCTGTCCTCTGTGCTCAACCTGGTTGTCGTGTAAAAAGTCGAGTGGTCCATACATGTACATGTACACCAAGGAGGAGAAGTAGGAGGAGGAGGATGTGGACAAACATTTTGTTTAGCACATCGACACCCTCATGAACACGACTGTCCAAAACTGAAGGAACTTGAACAAGAAGCCATTGCAAAACAACAAAGGAAACAGGAACTCAAAGCGAGTATCCAAGAGACATTTGAGAACAAGGTGTCCTCCACCTCCTCCTCCTCATCATCATCATCATCATCATCATCATTATCATCAGGAGCAACATCGGCATCAGCACCAGCGCCAGCACTATTAGTGAACGAGGAGAGTAGGAATGAGAGAGCGGAAGCGACTAAAAAGACAATTGCAGAGGCTAAAGCAAAACTTGCAGCAAGAAAAGCGGCTGCTGCCTCTACTACAACTACCACTACTTCTTCCACTACTGCTACTGCCGCTGCTGCTGCTGCTGCTTCGAGATCGGCAGATGAGAACAAAATCCTACCATCAGCAGGATCATCCACAGCAACTAAACCAAAGGCTAAAAAAGCCCCACGGATGGTATCAGTTTTAAAATTGATAAAATCGGCACAGGTAATGAATGTACTGTTCGGATTGTCTAAACGAGTATTTATGTGTATGGCAACATCGTACAGCAAAGAGCAATGGCTAATCAAATGTACTCTGCCTTGAAAAAAAAAAAAAAAAAAAAAAAAAAAAAAAACATCTGCTGTTGTGGTGAATGACAGGGTGAAGACAAGATCCCACTTAACTCGAGACTATACCTCCATATTCGATCGCCTCTATATCCACAGCTGAATGACAAGGCAGTGTTTGTGGACAAAACATGGACAGTAGGCAGATCGCTTGATAAAATCACAGAGTGGTTCAAGATTACACCACCTATGAATATGCATCAGTCCTTTGATGCCAACAAGGTTTGTATTCTTTACTTTTATGCGTATCATTTCCTATATTTGAGCATGAACAGAAAGCATATACAAGAATCTAACGCATATGTACTTTTTTCTCTTTTTATAAAAAATAAAAAATAAAAATACATTGATAGAGATTAAGCATATTTCATGCCAAAGAGCCAGAAGATGTACCCAAACTACTTGCCATGCAGGATCGCCTACAGCAGCTACCGAGCGTTGAAAGTGCTGATACAGTCTACTTGGCTCCTGCAGACTGGGACTATTCAGACCTCTAGTATATAGATGTAGCCACTAAATATTTCTCTATAAACACACCAGTCTTTCTCAAGCTATCCTCTCTTATTCAACAAGCACTTTCTTTTTTATGCTGTGATTGTAAAGAGGCAATGCCTGCACTTTATTCTATATCCTGAACCACTTCCTGCCTATCCACACACTTTACTCTTGACTCACAAGGCTCGCATGAAATGATATGTGCAATACTACATTCCTTGCATACTCTGCATTTGAGCCGGTATCCTCCGATCAACTGGCTTGTTTCTGTCAACCTGTAAATCGTGTTCGTTCGTTCAGCCCTTCTGTCTTTGGATCTGCTTCTAAATCTACCTTTGTTGGTGGTTTGATAATGGCTCACTTGACTGAGCCCATTCTTGGTCTTGGATGCTATAGGTGGCGTCCCTACACTCTTGATCGCCTCATGCACAGCCAAAGAGGAGGATTGCTCGTCTATAGCTCCATATTGCACCAGAAGCTTCCTGTTGACTTCACTCAACCCATCTACAGAGTGAATACGAGTGTTGTTTGCATTAAGGGCTGTTTGCTTGGTGCTCCACTTTAGACGGTATTGGTATTCCTCATTCTCCTTCACAATCTGCCACATCCGAATAGAACCATCCTCACAGCCTGTAACCAGATAGTGGTCCTCTTTAGAGGCATTCCATACAAGCGTATCAGCTTCACCACCTTCACATGGGATTACAATCAAACACTGGCCTGATTTTGGGTCCCACACTCGCACTGTCTTGTCCCAACTACTTGAGGCAATGTACCTTCCATCAGGCGAATAAGCAATATCAGTAATCCTGTAAATATGTCCTTCAAGCACCCATAGTATTGACCCTGTTTCAATATCCGCCACACTAACCAGCCCTCTCCCATGTCCAACAGCCATCTGTTGACTGCATGGTGAAAATGCTATACAATTTAGCTCATCGTCAAACTGTATTTCGTAACATATCCCACCTGTTCCTGCACTCCATACTTGGCAGTTGTCGCGAATATAGTCGTTCCACAACACTATCTTCCGGCTGTCAGGCGTGTATACGATATAAGAGTACCTGTTTGCTCTATCACTCACTTCACTCGCTTCATGCTGGAGTTCCCCTGATTGAGCTTTCCAGACTATGATGTTTCCACCGCCATCGTACGAAGCAATCTGGTCGCCATTAGGTGAGAATACCACAATCCTTAAATATGTTTTGTGGCCATGTAGTGTGCGGATGAGCTCTCCTGTTTGTGTGTTCCATATAGTCACTCTTCCAGACATATGACCACAGGCAATTTGGTGGCCAATAGGTGAGAAATCAAAGGCCTTTATATCATCAGCACCTTCGCCTTGTAGCTCCAAAGTGTGAACGGGTACGCCTGTTCGGACATCCCAAAGATAGACGCGTGGAGAATAATGGCGAGAGGCAAGCAACCGGCCATCAGGTAAATACTTGATATCTTGTATATCTTTATCGGGGCATTGCAAAGTGTGGATGGACTGTCCTGTCCTTGCATCCCACATACGCGCTGTTCCGTCCTGACTGCGTGAAGCTATTTGCTGCCCATCCGGCGAGCTCGTTATGCCACGGATTCTTGCTGAATAGCTATGTAAGTCGTGACTGGATTGTTGTGGCCGAGTATCCCATAGACGTATCGTTTTGTCACTACTGAAGGACGCAATCTGGTGGTTGTTTGGTGAATATGCCAAGCATTTTATCCAATCAGAGTGACCGTAGAAGGTATTCATGAGTTGCCTTGATCTCGCATCCCAAAGCCATATTGTGTTGCTCTGATCGCAGGCAGCTATCGCTTCTCCGTTTGGTGAATACTTTAGATCACTGATACCTAAAAATTCCTTACCAAAAGTATGAATGACTTGCCCTGTTTGCATATCCCACTGATGTATCTCCGTCACGGTGAACGAGGCAGCAAACTTCCCATTAGGTGAATACTGTATCCCATCGACCCAATCACCATGCTCCAAACCAAACTTCTTTTGACCTGATCTAACATCCCACACATGCAGCCAGTAATCTTCCAAACAACGAGTTATGATTTCCTGACCATTAGGTGGATACAAAATTTGCTCAATCTCAGAGGCATGGTCCATCAGCAACATCGACTGTTGCCCTGATGTCGCATCCCATAGCCGTAATGTCATGTCTTTACCGCCAGTTGCAATCTGCTTTCCATCAGGTGAATATGCCATACTCCTCACAGCATCAGTATGACCCTCTAACATAAATTTGAGAACGCCTGATTGGGTATCCCACATTCGCACTGAGCCATCATCGCTAGCTGAAGCAAGATCGTTCCCGCTTGGCGAGTACGCTTCACAGTAGACACGCCCTGTATGGCCCACCAATCTGTGAACCAATGCTCC